ATGGCTCCCTCCTGCTCCTGTCTGTTTAGATTCCAAATTTTTCCTACCAAGAGCTGCCTGTGCTGTGTGGGACAGACCCAAGAGAGAGCCTTGCACACATGAATGAGGGACCAGAAAACACAATGTGATTTTAGTTAATTTTTAACAGCATTTAAATTGAAAAAAATCATAGCAAGTACTTAAAATTATTTTTTTTAAAACTAAATTTATTTTTATAGAGAACTGATTTTTCAGATTTACCTTCTTACAGTTTGGTCATGCTAAAAATATTAAACTTAACAGAAGGTTATAATTTACACCTGCTTTGTGGGTGTCAGTAAGGTGCTGCTTTGTGTCTCTTTTTCCATCCCCAATTTATTTGCTGCCTGTTGTTTTCCCATTTCTTCTTGGTCAGTTGTTTTTTTGGTGGTTTGTTTTTTTTTTTCTGGGTTGCTTCTGTCTGGAATAAAAAAAAAAAAAAAAAAAAAAAAAAAAAATCAGTGTTGGTTTCCCGGGCAATTTCTCTGTTTTTGTAACTGGTTTCTATTAATGGTTTTGAGATGAATCCCGGGAATCTGAAGCTTTCCAGCCAAAGGGGGTGTTTAAATATTGTGCCATCCAAGGGTGCTGGAATGCAGGGAGCTTTTGGAGATGCCTTGTGGGTGCAGACAGAGCTCTGTGACCTGCTGCAAGGACACCAGAGCTGGAAGAACACACAAACACACGGATTAATGGGAATAATCCATGCAGCTGGAAAACTCTGGATGTTGCAGTTTAACTCCTCACTTGGGCACATCCAGGTCTGTCCCAGACAATCTGCACAGCTCAGTGAGTTCAGCAGATCAAAACCCTCTCAGAATTTCCATCTGACTAAATTCCTGCATTCCTGAACATGCACGTTAATTAGTTTCTGCTCCATGGGTTATTGGGAAGTGGAGCTTCCAGCTGGAGATTCAAGGAATTTGAAATCAAGAGATTTCAAGGAGGAAGTTGAGAAGCTGCCTGCAAAGGACAGCCCCAAACCCACCTGCTGTTCCTATTCCTCTGGTTTTGCTTCAAAATGAAGCCTCAGGCTGCACCAGGGGACATCAGGAGGAATTTCCCCACGGAAGGGTTGTTAAACATGGGAATTGCTGTTCTGGGAGGTTTGGAGTGCTCATCCCTGGAGGTGTCCCAGGAATCCTCGGAGCTCTGGGTTGGGGACGAGGTGGGGATTGGTCACAGGCTGGACTCTGATCCTGGAGGGATTTTCCAGCCTCAGCAATCCTGGGATTCAGGAGTGCTTGGGTACGGCATGGCAGTGACTGCCAGTGGGTATTTCTGTGAACTTCACCTGTCTCTGGCTGTTCCAGGGCTGGTATTTAATGTTCCCGTGATATTTTTTTATTCACCCCAGTCTAAAGGTGTCAGAGCTCTGCCCTGCTCATCCCCCAGCCTGTCTTTGCCTCATCTGCTTTGGTGGCTGCATCTCAGGCTGCTGATTACAGTGGATTCCAGTGAAATGAAACAAAAAAACATCTGGTGAGACCATCACCTTGTCATTCTGGATGTGCCCTTCAGAAAAGGCAAATCAGGGGGTTTTGTGTTTGTGGCTGGGGAACAACCAGGGTAATGCTGGGGCTAAGAGGTGCCTGACTTGTTCCAGCCCTGCAGTAATGACAGGCTTTGCTTGGCAGCCCTGTCATTGTGGTTGGCTTTCAATTCTGTCCTTTCAGTTCACAGTTCTTGCTCTAAACTAGATTATTTCAGGCTTGCTTAAGGAGTTTGTGGCAGCTGGAAGATTTGGTTTAAAGAGAAAAGCTTTGCCACCAAGTGAAAAATGGTGTCAGTGTAAATTAACCCTGAAAGGCACTGCCTTTCTTTTGCTGTTCCCATGCAAAGGTCTTTTTTCCCGTATTTTATTTTGAAGAATCCTTGCTGCCTTTGCCGCTGCCAATTAGCTGTACTCTTGTACTCTTTATTCATACACTGTAGCATTCCCTACTACATTTCTGTTCCAGGATTTTTATCCTTTCTTCTTCCCATGAGTAGGTATTTTCTCTGATCCTGGTGGAATACTCTGGGTCCTGTATTTAAAGAAGGTGTTGATGATAAGCCTGGGGTGTTGACAAATCCTGCACACAAGGCCTTGTACTGTAATTTGTGTCAACAGATTATTAATGCTGACATTCCTTTTTAATTCATGTATTTATGGCTGTGAAGATGGGGTGGAAGGGGCCACTTCCACTCCTGTTTCCCAGGGTTAGTGGCTCTCAAAAATTGCAGTTAAGGATGGGGGATTCCCGTTGGCATCAGACCTTTTTCCTAATCTGACACTTGCTCAGTTTTAACTGCTGCTGATCTTCCATTTGTATTTCTTGGGAAGTCTCTCAGTGCAGCCTGAAAAGAGGAAACTTCCTGACAATCATAGCTTCCCACAAGCCAATTACCCTTGTGACCCGTGCACTTTCAACAGGGCTTTGTCCACCCGTGCCACTGCTTTAGATCTGAATTAGGTGTGAAATACAGATTTTTCTTTTGCCACAATGAAAAATAGGCAACTTCGGGAACAGGGGAGCCTTCTGCTGCTGACCTGATCTGATGGCAGGTGCAGAGCCTGCAAAACCACTCCTGTTGCTGCTGGAAAGTCCCTTTTCCTTGCCTGGATGAAGCTGCTTTCTCTGGTCAGGATTTGTGGTCAGCTGGAGATGAGCAGTGGGCAGCCAAGGGATGCTTGGTATTGGGACAATCTATCCCAATTCCCCTGGGAGTGGGGAAGGAGAAAGGCTGGGGAGCACGGCTTAGCTCAGAATGGAGAAGCTCGTTAAGAATTCAGCTCCTAGACCAGGAAAAATGTTGACACAGCTGCTCTTCCAGGATGTCTTTGGAGTAGCAAAGCCCCAGGAAGCAGGGCTGGCTGCAGACTGTGCAGGATTAGAGAGGGGACAAGGCGGAGATCTGCAAACCCTGTGTCCCTTTCCTCCCCTCTGTGAACCCCAGAGAAGCTGCTGCTCTTCCAGTGGGTGATTTTAGGAGATTTCATCCTTGTTCAGCCTGGACTTGGCTCCTTGCAGTCAGGAAATATCCAGTCCGTGACAGCAGCAACCACAGCAATCTGCTCCCTCCCAAAAACCCTGCGAGGAGCAGGCAGTAACCTCTGCAGTGCCACAGCTGGGAGACAGAAAGGTGCTGTGAAAAACGAGGTTCACTCGCCTGATAAATTTTAAAAGGTTTAATATAAACATAAAGGCAATAGGAAACAAGGATAATAGAGCAAAGGGTTAAAACGGCAGGGTGCTTGGCTCTCTGCCAAGGGTACACCTGGTGCTTTGGAAACACCCTTTATATACCATCCCCTGCTACATGGATTTATGCATATTCAAACTTTTCCAGGAATTGTTTTGCACGGTCACTCCTCAGGTCTGCCTTTTTAGAGCACACACATTTGGTTTTAATGTCTCTTTTATAATCTTTTTATTTGGGCTGGAGTTCTTTCTTCTACAGGCAGTCAGTATTGATAGCAGCCTGGGCCCCATCATCTCTTCCCTGGAGGTTATCCTTGCTCTGACAGGACATAGCCCCAACGTCCAAACTTCTTCTTGACCTACGCCTAACAACTTTTTAGCTACTAGCAGGAGAAAAAAGAAAAAGACATAGTAAAAGCTATTCTAACTTATATTCATCTTAATACTTGCAAAAAGCCAATATCACAATATGTATTTATAACAGTGGTAAAAACCCCTGGAGTTGCAGCCTGGAAGGTCCTGTCCATGGTTGGGAGGGAGCAGGGGAAGGAGAGAATGATGGATTCGCTGTCTGTTCAGTGGGAGCAGCTTTTTTGCCCCCCGGTCAGGCATTTTCCAGGCTGCTTTGAACACGGCCTGCTCTGGCTCCCTGATGGAGACAACAGGAAAGGCTTCTTCTTCCATGAGATTCCATGAGATTCATGGTCCAGCAGCTGCTCTGGATCAGTGCTGTCCTTGTTGTGACACCTGGCACAGATCAGGGACATGCGAGCAGGAGCCTTTGCTACCTGCAGGTGTTTCTGGGATTGGAATAATGAGCATTCCTGAGGCTGGCAAAGAGAAACTGATGGGATTAGGGTTGCAGTTAGGCTGGATTTGTTCATATCCAGGTGGTGCCACAGCTCAGGTGATGAGGGTAGGAATATGGAGGGAGGGGCTGTTCCTATCCCATTACCCCTAAATCTCCTCACTTCATAGAAATGTCAGAGTTGGCGTTTCCAGGGAAATTTTACAAAGTTCTTTTCTGAAGATTATTTTAGGATTTTTCCCTAGAAACAAACCAGTTCTCTGGATCCGTCTGGGACAGTGTGAAGTTAACAGCAGGCTTTTTTTTTCATGGTCATGCTATCTAATAATAATAATAGCTTCAGTTTCTTGGAATTTGTTTGGAAGTCCTGGTTCTGTCTGATGATGGAGACAGGATCCTGGACTGGGTGAAGTTCTGATGTGGATGCTCCCAAAGTTTCCCTTGTTGCAGTGTGTAGTTATTTAAATGTTTATTTCGGGGGTAATTATAACTCTCTTCTCTTTCCTGAAACTCCTTCCCCTCTGGGATAGGGGGAATCTATTTTCTGGTAGAGCAGAGAGACAGAAAAATGTCAGAAGGAAAAATTCAAGTGTGGCAATTAAGTTTATCCTCATGGATCCCAAGGGAAGGCTCCTGACTTGTCTTTTTAAATTCTCTTATGGAGTCCCACAGACATTTAAGGACAGTCAGTTTTAATTCCCTTTCTTCACTTGATGACTAATATGACTGAATTGTAAAATCCAATAAATCCAATCCACTAAATGGTGTTAACCATAAGCAACAATAACCTGACAACGGAATGCAAGAAAACAGAAAAACTGACCATATTTTAATTTTCCTATATGTAGTTTTACTTTTAATATTCTAGCAGCAGCTACTCTATTTCCTATTTTATACTCTATTTCCTGACTTTATACTCATTGTAATTTTCCTGTAAATACCCAGCCCTTGCTTACAAATCACAGGACAGGGTAAATACTGTTTTCTAGGTTGTCTTTGGAGACTGGAGCTGGAAGTAAAACCATATGAGGAGACCAAGATCAAAACCCTATTGAAGGCAGCAGAATAAATCCAGTCTGGAGGAGTGTCAGACAAAGGGAGAAACAGCTGGATCAAGTAAAGCACAAGGAAAATTGGTTCCATCCCTAAGGGGAGGGAGAAAGATTTGTTTTGTCAGCCCAGAGCTGTGTGGGACCAACTTCCAGTTTCAACTGAAACTTTGATGTCAGAGTCAGGAAGGGCTCAGAAGGTCTCGGAGGGAGAGGAAGGAGGAGAGGGATCTGCAGAAAGTGTGAGGGAAAGGAAGGAGGTGGAGTGGGACTGGGGAGGTGGGGAGTTGGAAGTTGGAGGTGGAGTAATCCTGCAGAATCTGAGCTGCTGTCCTCAGCTCTGGGGATGTAAACTGATGAGGTCATAGTGTTTTCCAGTTACAGAAAAGAAAGTTAAAGGAAAAAAAATCTTCAGCTTGTTTTTCAAGAGAGGCAAAAACTCTGAGAAGTCGAAGAAATGGAGCAACTTGCAAAACTCCTCCTGTGGCAGATTTTGCTTCAGCAAAGTAAGCTTTGAGCTGTTAGCCTGTTACTTGTTTTTATTTCAGCTGCACAATGGGGCTGGGGGTTGGCTGTGAGATTTTGAGCTGTTATCTTTGTAAGATTTTGTTCAGATTCCTAAATTTGCTCTGTTTTTGTCTGGGGAGGGGAGGGAGTTGTGGGTTTCCTCTGCTTTTTTTGGGGAGAGAATGGAAAAATGTTTGAGGTTGTTGGAGCTCTGTTCACATGTTTGTGCAATTTTTTAAAATTTTTTTTTCCTATCAACAAATTCAAAACCAATAAGCTTGGGTATGAGTACAGCAAAGCTTTCACAGTCATATTTACAGGACTTAAGGTTACTTTTTTAGGTTTGAAGAAGCAGAAACAGCTGAGGGTGCATGTGTGTGAGGGTTCAGATGGAGGGAAAAAAAGATGTGTGGTTTTTGGGTTTCTTTTCCTCTTGTCAGCATAAAGACAGACACAGAATTGACTTTTGGGTAGCAAGGTGCAAGAAAAGAGTAGGAAGTGAGGAGCAGAACTTTTTGGGGGGCTTGTGACTCCTTTCTCTTCCTAGCCCTTTTAAAAGGCTGTGGCTGACACCTGGGCCACTCAGTTCCTCAGCACTGAGGTGGAGTAAGGTGAGAAGTTCTCCCTTTGGTCCCTAATTAATCCACTTTCCATGTCACCATGGCATTTTTGCAATGCCCCAAGGCAAGGTTTAGGAATTGGCAAATGATGGATCAGTCATAGGTACAGAACGGTTAAAGTGGCTCAGAAATCTGGGGTGTGGGGTGGGTTAAAGAGGAGGAGGAGAGGCCACAGTTCTGTCACAACCAGTCCAGTGACTCCCAGTGAGGTTTGGCAGAGCATCTGAGGGCAGGAATAGCAAGTTGGGCTGCTGCAGAGCCAGAGGTCCCATGGGAGCATGGATGATCTCTGACAGAATTTCAGGTGCATTTTGGATTTACCCGGTTGCACTCCAGGCAGCCCTGATGTTTGAGCCCACCCAAATGAGGTTATAACTCAATAGTGCAGATGAGAAGGGGGCAAATCTATGCTGTGAGGAAATCTGTTATCCCTCCTGCACGGAAACCACTCCTTCAAGTGTTAATGTCTCAGGGAGGAACAGCCCGTGTTTGGAATGGCTCTACAAAACCATTCCATGGGCCTGCAGCCAAGGGGGAGCTCACAAGGCAGGGGAGGATTTCTAAAACTCAGAATCCCAGAAAAGCTGGATCCTGTCTGTGCCCCAGGTGGGGATTGGCTCTTTGTACAGACATAAAGTTTTTCCTTTATGCAGTTTCCTGCTCTCTGCATGTTCCTACCTGCAGGGTGGGCTGGAATTTTTGGAGCTGGATGGGTATTTAAGGGCTCTGACATCCTTTTTGGAAGTGGGAGATTCTGCTGCTGGGAAAGTTGTCCCAGGAAGTCTTTAGAAATAAACAAGCACAGAGATTTAGAGAAAATCCCAGTTCAAAGCCTGGCTTGACCATCAGTGGGATTTGAAGGGAAATTCTGTTTTACTGAAAAGCTGAGTCTTGCAGGCTGGACAGGAGGTGAATGGGAGAAGTTTAGGAGGAGCTGTTTTGTGCACCATATCCCTTCTCCAGATGAGCCCAGATGTTTCTCCTGGTTCCTGCTCAGTGGGTTAAAAAAACCTGGCTCCTAGAGGAGAGCTGGGCTCATTTATTTCACTGTCACCTTGCTGCTGCTGCATCAAAAGCTGTCAGGGCCTCTCAGCCCCCTAAAGAGTAAGGATGGAGCCCCTGCTATCCCCAGAGGGTTTGGGGACAGTGTGGTGGGACTGCTGCTTTTCCCGTAATTGTGTAATGACCCTACAGAGCCCATGGAAGCTCCTCTAAACAAAGGGATTCATGGGAGATATGAGGAATCTGGCTCACACAGATTTGGGTAGGAACATGTCCTTTCTGCAGGACTTTTCTGCTCTGGTCATTTTGCATCCCCCAGTATGAAACAGAGATTCAGTGGTTTTATCCAGCACTGAGCTGAGCAGCAGCTCCTGTGTCCCAGGAGGGAGTTTATCCCAGGATTGTTCATTGAGGACTCAGGGGACAGTTTTCTGTCCTTGCCCTGCTCCAAGGACACTACCTGGAGAGCTCTGAGCATGTCACACATCTTTCACAGCCTGAGCCTTTTGCTTCTAGTTTGCCCACAGTTTTTTTGTGGCTTGATTCTTCATGTGAAAAATGGATGGGATTCAAGAAGTAAGAGTTGGCTCTGCCTTTTACAAGGGATTAAGAAATAATTTTCCAGACTGCTTTCCTCTTCCTCTACTGTGGGACCAGAGAGTAACTCTGGGATCCTGCTGAATCAGCACAGAATGTGTCAGGGGATAGCACAGAATTGTCTTTTGTTGGTATTTTTTTGTTGGGGTTTTTTTGTGGTTATGTCACTCAGAGAAGATAAAATGATTGTCCATCCCATGGAGTTTGAAATTCTAAAATGAAAGCCCCAGTTGAGTTCTGTGTTGACAGCTGTGAAGGCAGCTGAGGTTTAGAAGGTAAAGAAGCTGAGGCCTGTGATGACAGAGGTCAGAGCTGTCACCAGGTACATGAAGACTCTTTGGTTTTGCAGTTGGCTTACCAAAATCCCTGCTTGCAGCTGACCCCAGTGCTACAGTTCATGAGCTGTCACCTTTACTGGACTGTGGTTCTACCTCTGTTCAGAAGCTGCTGTGTCATAAAATCCCTTTTTAAAACAGGGCTTGGTTGCTCTAGCTCATACAGCAGAGCAGGGTCCCACAGCAGAGGGAGGACACTGAAAAGAGAAAAAGTCTCATTCCTCCTTCCACTGCTGCTCACTGCTCAGGTTATTGAAGGTCAGTTGTTCTAAATTCCATTTTTTCCAGGCATGCAAGAGGTCAGAGACATACCAGATTCCTCCGATTTCTGAGTGATCTCATTTACAGCTTTGTCAAATAAGTTTGAGCCTTACCCATGAACTGATGAATGTGTGCAGATTTCTAGCATGGCTGGGGAATCAGAACAATCGGTTCTTCCTTCTTTGTCTGCTGGAATTCCTGTGCCTCTTGTGAAGAGTTATCCTTTTTCTTTCCAAACTATGGAAGATATCCTAGGGCAGGTTCAGACTCAAAGTTTCTGTCCAGACTCTGTTTGCACAAAATGAGAAACCCTTTCTCTCCCATCTCTGTGTGCTGAGCTCCAATATTTAAGTTTACCTCATCTAGAATGGCTTTTGTTGTGATGCTCAATGTCAACCCAGCTCTGTGTGGCAACAGCCAGCAAGTCACAAATCCAGTCTATAAAATGCAGAGTATAAAATCCACAGGATCTTCCCTGGTCCCAACAGGACACAGCATCTCCTGCTCACTGAGGGGCAAACCAGAAATGCCTTGGAATGACTTTCTGAAGCAGCAGCATTCCTGCCCTGTTCCTGGCTGAAGTTTTAAGAGTGGAGGGGAAAAGAACCCACAAGACATCAATTTTTCTTGTCTAAAAGCTGTTCCATCCCAGCCAAGCCCCTTTTTCACAGAGAGTTGTGTTTAGAAGTGCTGGCTGCTCAGGCTCCAGCAGCTCCACCTGGGAAGAGGCGGGGAAGAGAAGGGTGGTCCTTGCCCTGGCAGGTGGAAGGTACAGGGGTCCAAAAAGGTGCAGAACCAGGTGCTGGTGTGAGCTCAGAGCTTTGGGTGGCTGAGCTTTTGCCACTTGTTGTATTTACAGCACTGCATTTGTAAATCTGCTTTGGGAATTTGATGCTGCTCAATGTTTTTGCCATTAGCTCTCCAGAGGAAAGGAGAGCAGTAAATGCCTTCATTCCTCTGCCTGAGCCAGCAGAGGATGTTTCTGTCACACCAAATCAATTTGTTGTTCGTGCAGGGCTCTGGAAGTAGCTTCAGACACCATTCCCCAGCTGACAAATCGCTGTTCATGTCACAAACCACACTTGTTCAGCCACGAGGACATTGCCTGGGCACGGTGACTCTTTTGCTGTGCTGGCAGCTGGTGGCCTGTCACAAGTGACACCGATTTTTCCTGGCTGATTTGGTGCTGTGGAACATTGGCTGATACATTTTGCAGCCTGTCAGGAGAGACAATCAAATGATGGAATTGTGATGTCTCTTTCTTATATACAGAGAACACAGACCTGGACCAAAATTTGATTTTTCTCTTTGTGATGCTAAGATTTTAACTGTAAGAAAAAAAATGCCTCTTATCTGTGGTGCCTTTGAGCTGGCAGTTCAATTGAGAGTGCTGCTCATTTTTTGTTCTCTTCCCTCCCTGCCCCCAGACAGAAAAAGGGGAGGAAACTAAGTTTATTCTCAGCACTTGGGGGTGTGCTAAAATACCCCCAGTCTGGAGTTGAATTTGAAATTCATAAATTCCAGGGCTAGAAAAAAAAATAAAAATACAGTCTTTGTCTGCAGGACTTTGTGCCTCTGACATTAGCAGGACAAAACCTCCAATGATTTTGATGGAACCCACTTGGGTTTGGCTGGGTGGAGAGATGAATGGTGGTGTTGTGTTGGGAATCTGTGTTGGGAATCAAAAGCCTGATGCCAGGAGACCTTCTAGACCCCTCCCACACAAGGAACAGGAGGGACTGGACCAGAAAAATGCAGAATCAAAGGAATTGGTTCATCTCTGGCAAAGTTCTTCCTGTGTGGATCTGAGTCATGTGAGTTGGAGAGAGCTGATGCATCCAGAGCACCACAGAATTAACTGTGTAGACAAAGTGTGTCAGGAATGGGAAATGGAGCAGCCAGATATAAACATCAGTATTAACAGGGCAGGGGAGAATAGATGGAGCAATAACAGAGGTGGCTGGTGACTTGGAATTTGTAGCTTTTTTATCCTTTTGTTGTCAGTAACACTCTTCATTTTCTGCTTTGACAGGTTCTGTGTGCTCATATTCAGGTGAGTGGCATCTCTGTAAATCTGCCAGGTTTTGTGAGGAAGAGTGAGAGGGACCCTGATTCCATGGCATTCACAGGGGCTTTCATTCCTAACTTTCATGGGTTATGCATCCCATGCAGTGGTGTCTCTAAACTTGGATTAAGCTGGGGGGCAGGATTAGGAAGGGTGGGTAGGACAGCTCAAGTGTACAATCCTGAGAACACACATGAATGAAATCTGTGTGTTAAAATTTTATTTATTAGGAAAAGGTTTTTCCCCCTGAGGAGGGCAGTGCCCAGGCTCCCCAGGGAATGGTCCCAGTCCCAAGAGCTCCAGGAGCCTTTGGACACCACTCCCAGGGATGCACAGTGTGGGATTGTTAGGGTGCCTGTGCAGGGATAAGGTTGGATCAGTGATTCTCTGGGTCCCTTCCAGCTCAGGATTCTTCAATTCTCCATGACAGTGCCCCATTCTGGTATTGAAACCAGAATCAAAAGCGTGCGGAGATTCCAGCACAAGCCTGACTCCCATTCCAGCGCCTTATTCACACGCCATTAACTGCATAACCCTACAACTCTTTTTTTTTCTGCTGTTTGCTCCTGATTTTCAGTCCCAGCTGATGCCTCCAACCCAGCCAGCGTGGTGGTGTCTGTGCTGAACATCAGTGCTGTGCTGGGCTCCCAGGCTGTGCTGCCCTGCAAGAGCCACCGCATGGTGTGGACCCAGGACCGCCTCAACGACAGGCAGCGCGTGGTGCACTGGGACCTGCTCAGCTCCTACTATGGGGACAGCAGGATGGAGAGGCTCTGTGACATGTACTCAGCTGGGGACCAGCGTGTCTACAGCTCCTACAACCAGGGCAGGATCCTCATGCCTGAGAATGCCTTTGCAGATGGGAATTTCTCACTGGTGATCAAAGGTGTGGAGCCTTTTTCCCCACCCTGTGGAGGGTTTGGGGCTCAATGGGATTTGTGGGTTTTGGTGTAAATGGTTGGCTCACTGCATATTTTTTGATAAATAAATTTAATATTTGATAATAAGCCTAATTCTCAGGAGGAATTTCAGGGTTTGGAACGGGCTGCCTGGGGAGGTGGGGAAGCCCCCATCCCTGGTCTGGGAGCAATCTCAGGTATGCCTGGCTGTCCTTGATGCTTGGAATTCAGGATTCCAGGGTCTGGGAGCAATCTCAGTGCACTGGTGGCACTCAGTGCTCTGGTTATTTGTGTACCTCCAAGTCTGTCCCAGAAAACCTGCACAGCTCAGCACATTCAGCAGATCAAAATCCTCTCAGCATCCCCTCTTACCAAATACATGCATACCTGGACAGTTACATTAAATAATTTCTGCTCCTTGGGCGCTTAGGGAAGTGGAGCTTTCAGCTGGAGATTCAAGGCAGGAGAAGTTGAGGAATTGCCCTCAAACCTAGGGCAGCTGTCTGGTTCTGCTTCAAAATGAAGCCTCCAGCTGGCCCAGGGAAGGTTCAGACTGGATACAGGAGGATTTTTTTCTCTGGAAGGGGTTGTTAAACATGGGAATTGATGCTTAGGGAAGTGGAGTCCTCACCCCTGGAGGTGTCCAGGGAAGGACTGGATATGGCACTCAGTGCTCTGGCCTGGGTGACAAGGTGGGGATTGAGGTTGGACTCAATCTTGGAATTCTTTTCCAACTTCAGTGATTCTGTGTGGTTCTCTGAAGCACTGAGTATTTTATTTGCCTTTGAAACAGACCAGTTTTGAAAGAGAACTTGTAACCACCTGAAAGCCACCTGGGCTTTTTGTTGCCCTGTGATTGTGATTCAGTTCCTGAGCAATGAACACTCCATGGCCATTGTTCCTGTGCCTGCTCTCAGCTAAACCTGAACCAGCTTCCTCTTTCCACCTGTTAATAGAAATATCTTCCTCACAAGAGCAAACCAACTGAACATATTAAGTGACCAAATCATTATATTGGGTGAGATGATTTGTTTCTGTTTATCCCACCCTGGTGATAAGGATGGCTTAGAATGAAGTTGTCTTGTATTCAGACAAGGATTTGGGAAACTGCAAATGACACAAATAATCATTGTCTCAGTACAGAACACGGAATTCCTCTCTCTTTCCTGCTCTACAGGTGTTGCAGAGAGTGATGAAGGCACATATTCCTGCAATCTTCACCATCACTACTGCCACCTGTATGAAACTGTGAAAATCCAGCTGGTCATCGCCAATAGAGGTGGGTGTACAGACAGTTCCAGGTTTTACAGGTGCTACAGGAGGCTTGGGAAGCACCAGCAGAGCCGGGTGCTCTCTGTGCTGTTTGCTGTCTGAGTTTCAGAGGTTCATTTACAAACCTCTCTTCTTCCTTGGCCAAACAGTGCCTGGAGCCTGCTCAGCTCAGTGTTTGCTCTCAGTCGTTACCAAACTGTCCCTGCTGCAGCAGTAGCACACCCCTGGTGACAATCCCTCCCTAGTGACAATTCCTCCCTGGTGACAATCCACACCCTCAGCTCAGCCACAAGGACCTGCTTGTGCTCTGGCTGCTGAGCTTGCCCTGGGCAGCCTGTACTTAAAAACCCACCTTAAGCCCAGCTCTAAAAGCAAGCTGTTGGCAGCTGCAGGGAGTCCCACCCATCCACACAGGCACCCATTAAAACCCATTTAAACCTCTGGAGAACACCAGTGGAGCTACTGGTGGGGAAGTGCATCTCCTCTGCTGCTCTCACAGCACAATAAAAACATCCAGAGAGCCCAGTCTGCTCCTCTGTGCTCTGGCTTCTTCTGTTATTCCTTTTCAAGAGGCAAACATAGAGCAGTGCTGCTTCAGCTCCTCCAGTAATTAGGGCCTTTGTGGGTAGGAAAGCATTTCCTGCTCAGAGGATTGGGATGAAGATCCTCATTCCATTCTTAGCTTGTGGAGGGAATTTGCTTCCTGCTTTCTGAAGCAGTAGATTAACTCTGAGTTAGATGGAGAAGAAAGTGGTCTTGCTTCATGAAATGGCCAAAGATGTAGAGGATAAAGGTGTTTTTGTTTTTTTTTACTAATTACTGAAATAAGTGTGGAAAAGCCAGGGTTGTTCAGTTTTATGCATGTTCAAGCTGTGCCATGTGGCAGTATTTTGGGTGGGGGTGTCTTATAGGATTCCAATCTTGTGGAGTTTTAGGATTCCAAGAGAGCAATCTCAGGTGTGCCTGGCTCTCCTTGACACTTGGAATTCAGGATTCCAGGCTCTGGGAGCAATCTCAGATGTGCCTGGCTGTCCTTGACCCTTGGCATCGAGTGGGAACTTCGCATCAGCCATGTCCATGAGATCGCGGTGCACTACAGTGAACTGGCCTAAAATTTTGCTGATTTTGGCCAAGGAAAGGAAACCTGGGAAGGAAACTTAAGTAGATTAAGCAGGGAAAAAAGGGACAGGAGGGAAAAATGGCACGAGTGGGGAAAAATGCCCATTCCAAGGTTGAGTTTCCCCAGCAGGTGAGGAGGCCAGCGAGTATTGGGATGGTGAGAAGCCAGTTCTGGTGGCCCCAGCGGGCAGCACGGTGACGCTGCCTTGTGTCAACCGCCAGCACATCTGGACGGAGCGGCACAGCGAGGAGGAGCAGCAGGTTCTTACAAATACATACTATAATATTAGTTTTTTTGTAAAATAATAGAATAAATGTCATGTATACATATATATATAAAGTAGTTTTGTTATAGTTTTAAGTTTAACTAAACTTAGGCATAATAGTAAAATAATTAGTAGCTATGCTTAAACTACTTGTTTAATTAAGATAACATTTGACAGACATAATGAAAGTTTTTGTTACTGACATGTTAACTATTAGTACTTATTGTCTGAAGAAAATATAAACTTAAAACTAGAGGTGATAATAAGAATAGACTAAAACTATAACTAAGAAATGAGCTTGTTTAAAAAAAGGAGTCCTAAAGAAAAGTTACGTAGTTTTTAGAATATGTTAACTAATTTAAAGAAAAGTTTAATTATGTAGAATTGTTTATAAATACGCAATAAATATAAATATGGTTTATAAATATGCAGTAAGCTAATACAATATAAATATATAAAAAATGTCTCCAAGATAGCAAGTGTGCTCTTGACAGAACGCCAAACACCCAGCTGTTAATCTTTGCTCTGTTATCTGTGTCTCCTTAAACTCTTAAATTTTACCAAAAAAGTCAACCTGGTGTTTTTCCAAGGTGGTTCACTGGGACCGGCAGCCCCCCGGCGTGCCCCATGACCGCGCTGACCGCTTGGTGGACCTGTACGCGTCCGGTGAGCGCCGCTCCTACGGGCCCCTGTTCCTGCGGCAGAAGATGAACGTCACCCGCGGCGCCTTCGCCCTCGGAGACTTCTCCCTGCGCATCTCCCACCTGGAGAGCGCCGATGAGGGCACCTACTCCTGCCACCTGCACCACCACTACTGCGGGCTCCATGAGCGCAGGATCTACCACGTGTCCGTGACAGAGCCAGAGAAGGAGAGGAAGGTGGTGAACCTCACCACACACAGCGTGGCCCCAGCTGCAGGTGAGTGGTTTCTCCTGTGGAGAATTTGCAGGAAATCCTGCTGGGAAAAGCCAGACTCTCTCTCCCTTTAGTTGGATAAAATGGCGGAATCCCTCTGCCTCGTTGGTGGACGTGGTGCTCGGTGCTGGGTTTAGTAGATGAGGAGCTGTTAGGTCAAAGGTTGGATCTTAAAGGTCTTTTGCAGCCTGGTTCATTCTGTGATTCTATGGACTTCTCACAGAGGGGTTTTCCACACTATGAGAAGTATCCACAGCTGCATCTTTGGGGCTCTAAAGAGCTCAGCCAGCTCAGCTCCAGATGATTCCAAGCTGTTTCCATCACCTGCCTGCACCTGGAGCTGCACAGGGGCAGTGAGGATGCTGTGGAATGTCCTTCCATCACTGGACTTGATGCCTTAGGATTTTAGCTTTTATATTTTCTCACATGTTTGTAGTCCTGCATCCATATAGCATGTTAGCTACAGCTTTCCCATTTTGGTCAACAATTCCTCTCCAGGCCTGGGATCAAGGACACCTTGCTGTCTCAGGCCCTGAGAGATTGAAACAAAATTGAGTGTCAGTCCCCCTTTTGCAGTGCTGAGGGCACAGGGCAGCTCCTGGCCCCTCTGTCCCAGGGCAGTTCTGCACTGCTGACAGGCCCTGGGGCAAACCAGATGGGTTTGTTCCGTGCTTTTGTACAGCTCCCTCTCACTTTTTGTTGGCTTCCTTTCCTCCACACTTTTATGGATCGGGAGAAGGTGTGGGCAGGGGGTTGATGCAGCCCTGCCTTTGCTGTCACAACTCTTGTTTGACACCACAGTTTGTCTCTGCACGGATGTTTAGGCTGTGCAAGGTGCCAGACCATGCAGAATCAACCACCAGGAATTTTACTCCACCCTTCAGCTTTTTTTTTTTTTTTTTTTTTTTTGTGTGTGTGTGTGCCATAAACCAATTTTCATATTTTCCACTGCACTGAGCTATCATCTGTCAGCCTGTCCAAACTCAAAACCATCACGCCTCATTCAGGCAGAAAAAGAAAACAAAAATCCCAAGTTTAATATTTTTTTTTTAACGTCTTTTGGGTATAGTTCTTTATTAACACTTTAAAATATTCATTGTGTTTTAATATTTATTGGCTGTTTAATATAGAATTTTGATTTACTTCATACATTTTTTAATAGGTTTATTCTCCTGTAGAAATTTGCTTTCTCAAGTCATAGAGACCTAAACTTTTTCCCTGGGGCTAAGGTTGGTGTCCAGAAAATCCAGGCAGTGCTGAGGAGAGGTGGCTGGAGAGCAAGACATCCAAATAACAGAGTTCCTGCAGACAGCCCTTGAGCCTTATCCACAGATGGAAGCTAGATCTTGTTTCCAGAGTCATTCACCCAGAAATTTATTCCTCTTTTTCCTGGATGTTGTTCTGAGTAGTTCCCTACCTGCTCAGAAATGAGGTGGAATCTCTGAGTGATTTAACCTGAGTTTGGCTGTGGTGCTGGAGGAATTTCCCTTCCTGGCAAAAGCCACTTCCACTGTCCAAAGCAGCAGCTTTGGGACAGTTTTGTCCCCTGCAGGCAGTGACCCTTCAGCTGGGCTGGGAGCACCACACACAAAAATGTGCTGAGTCTGTGGGAATGTGCAAGCAGTGGAGACATCCAGAGGTTTCCTTTTCCAGCCCTGCCTGGGTGCAGCAGGGGAGGCTGAGGCACTGCCCCATTCCATGAAAAACTGCCTGGAATTCTGGAGAGCACAACATAAATGGGGAGACAACAAAAGCAAACCAAGGAGCTTTCTTCAGGCAGCAGCCTCAGCTCCTGGCCTTGCTCCAAGCTCCAGAGCCATTCCCAGACAGGAAAGTTTATCCTGTTTGGAAGAGAAGCAGGGGCTCAGTGCTGCTCTCAGGCTCAGCAGTGTAAATGTGGTGGATGTCTACTAAAAGAGTATTTTTACTCAGGATTTGCTCTGCAGCACGTGGCTGAAGAATCTGTTGTGTCTCATCATGAGGGCTAAAATATTTGCAACCCTTTGTGGAAAGCTCCCCACTTTTTCCAGCCGAAGAATTTGGTCCTTGATGCTTGGGGAAAGTCATGTTAAACCACCTCTGGTCTAAGCTTTTCCCCCCGACACTGTTAGGATTTATTCCCCCCACCCCCGCCTCTGCTTAGGATTTATTTTCTCCCCCAACACCATCAGGATTTTATTTCAGTGGTTAAAGTGTCCTGGGAGTGAATGCGGGGCAGGTTGTGAGATGTGCTGAGAGATTAGATCTTGGATACAGAATAAACCTTCATCACCACAGCTTCAATTCTGGTGTAGGGTGAAGAGGAGTCTGTGAGACCTTGTGATCCTGCTCAGGGCACTGACACTCACTGGCATGACAGAGCTGTCCCTCCGTGCCTCAGTTTCCCCAGTTATAAAATGGGATATATTCCACTGCCCAAAGTTATGCAATCTCTGTTTCCACTGTTTGCTGTTGCAGTGACCTCCTCAGTGTTGCCTAAAGTTCAGCCCAATTTACCCCTGTCTTGCAGTACTTTGGGAAAGCAAAAAGCCAGGAATAGAATTCCTTTGTTTGCTGTGGCACCATCTCATAGCAGAAAGGAGGCAGGGATGTGACAAAGCAGAGCTGTCACATGTGCTGTTTTCAGCTTTGCAAGTGGGTTTGAATTGATGTTTTTTAGCTTGGCAGGGTGGAAATCCCATGGATTTTCCAGCATTGTGTTCAGGGAACACAGGGCATCTGAAAATACCAGTAAAAAGCAGAGTGCTGCTGGAGTAGAGCACTGGGCCACCAGAACAGAGCATGTTGCTCAAGCTTTTTGATTTTCTAGGACTGCTGTTGGCATTAGCAAACAATCAGCTCTGATTTCAGAGTGTTTATTTCAATTCACTCTTGCCTGGCTTGATTTTATTTTTGCTGGGTTGGTGTTTTTAAATGCTGGGAACAAACTGCCCAAAAAACTGGAACCAGTCCCTGTGCCAGCACTTCCAGAAGTGTCAGAACACATCTGCTAAAGGGTACTGTGGCTTTGGAGATATTTCCCCCCCACTTTTCCCCTTGTTCTGTCTGGGTAATTAGCAGGAGGAACTCCCAAGGGAATGGGAGGTGAGGGCTCCATCCTGTTCTCACCTGGTGCTCTGTGAAAATTCCCTGTAAGGTGCGAAGGTGTCATTTCAGCTCTGTTTTGAAGGAATAAAACCTTCTCCCAGAAAGTCTTGTGGGATTCCATCCATGCTTGGGCTGGCTTTGTCCATTTCTCTGAGTGCTGCAAGCAGAGGAGTCACTTCCTCTTTACGTGTGTAAAACATTGACCTATTTATTTGAGATCTGCAAAAAAATGTTCCACGTAGAAGTTTTGAGTTCCCCTTCCCTGTGCTGTGGAACAGAAATTCTACTGCACCCACAAAAGGAATGGAATCTTGGCTTTCCTCTGTGGTTTTTGTTGTTTTGTTTTTTTTTTTTGGGGGGGGTGGGGTGGGGGAGGTATTTATTTTATTGATTTTTATTTCATTTCAAAGTAAGCTCATTTTTTGGCATTGAAAACTCTTCCCACTCCATAAATTAAAACCCTTGACAAGGAGGGGCTGCTCTCTGGAGCCAGAGCAGTGTGGAGTGTGTGTTGGAAGGGACCCAGAGGAGGGCTGTGTTGCCCTCTGGAAGGTTTGGGGCTGGCTGGGATGGCTTTGCTCTGGAATTCCCCACTGCTGATGGCCCAGGGATCACCAATTCCCTGATAAATCTGGGGAATCATGGTTTGGTGAAGAGCACAGCATGTCCCACCTGCCAGAGGTGCAGGGTGGTGTAAATCAGGCACTGATTTGCCCTTTAGTTCTTGCAATTCAGAAGAATTTCACCTCCCTGAGCATTCCCACCTGTCATCCTGCCTTTCTCTGGATGTCACTTCCAGTGATCCCGCTTTCCTTCCCTCAGATCCAAATGTGGTCAGGGGCCACAATGTCATCAATGTCATCATCCCTGAGAGCAGGATGCACTTCTTCCAGCAGCTGGGCTACATCCTGGCCACTCTGCTGCTCTTCCTCGTCCTCCTCATCATCGTGGTCCTCATCACCCGCAAGCGCCGGCAGAGAGGTGAGTCCAGGGAAAACCTGTCCTGTCCTGCTTGGAGTGGCATCCTGGGACATTGTTCTGCAAATGGTTCCTGCAAGGAGCAGTGCTGCATGCAGGGATCCCCTCCTGGAAAACCAGGAAGTTGCCCAGTGGGGAGGATTTGCAGGGCTGGTGTGGTGTAAAAATGTCCAGGCCTCGATTTCATGGAATTGTTGGGTTTGGAAAAGATCTCCAAGGTAATCAAGTCCAGGTTTTGGCTGAATCCCACTCGCTGATTTGCTGAGTTGCTCTGTAGAAGGGAGAAGAAAAGCCCTTCACAAGTGGGATTTATCCCTTGGGAACTCAGGGGTCCGGGTCCTTGCTGTGCTGGGTGACTCTGTGGGATTCCATCAAGGGATCTCTGGGTGACACCCAAAGCACTGGTTTTGGATCCATGGATCCATCCAGGAATGCATCTGGACTGGCTGGGACTGCTCATTCTGCTTTTTCCTCCTGCTTAGGTTATGAATACAATGTGAAGAAATACGGAGAGTAAGTATAATTAATTATAATAGAATTAATATTATTAATTTGGTTTAGAATGCAGTAAAATGGACTCATGCCCCCCCTCCTCAGCTAAGAGACTAAACGAGCTGAAAATCTGGTTAGGAGGAGGAAGTGGAAGGAGAAAATGGTTTGTGGGGCTGATTTGGCAATTGAATTTTCTCTCGTTATTCTTTGGGAACTGATTCAGGGATGAAGTTTCTGTGAGATGTCCTTGGGAGTTGGTGGGAAAGGAGTAATACACAGATCTGCTGTGAGATGGGGCCAAGATCACGGACCTGGGCTCCTCCAGACCTTATTTTATATGATTAAAGTGAAAGAGATAAGGAAGTTCCAAGATTGGCTGCCCATTGTTCTAAGATCTGGACAAACAGAGAAAAAGTGGGGGGGAAAAAATAAAAATTAAAGCAATTAAATTCTCTAAAGAAGTAAAGCTATTGGGGAAAAAGTTTGAAATGAGCCAGTTATTAAAGGATGTGACAATACCATTTTCCACCATTACTCCCCTTCAGGAAGGATGTGAATCTTAAAGAATTTACAGTGGACGCGACAGATCTGACCCCACACAAAAGTGAAGACATCAGGCTGGGTAGGTATCCCTGGCCACCAAACCAGGTCAGAAGCCTTGTAAATCTGAAATTTCTAATGGCACTTGGATATTTTAAAGTTATTTAACCCATTCTTTAACCTCTGGAAGTGGGTATGACTTTATTTGACCAGAATTGGATAAAGAGAAGTCCTGAGTTAGTTGAGTTCATTGTCTCCACCTTTTGTTGAAGCCAGTTTGGTTTAACTTTCTGATTTTCATCCTCCGTGGATGTCAAATCATTCAGTGAACATTTGGGCCTTCTGTCAAGATCTGTGGTAGCAATTAGGGCAGATAAACAGAGAATGAGAGGAAGAAAATTTGCAACAGAGGCCCTGTGGTAGAGAAAATACAAATCCCCCTGGAACTTGTGGTAAAATAAAAGACAGTGGGCAGTGGGTAAGGAAGCTCATCTCACACTGTGAAAGTGGTTTTTTGGGGGATTTATAGGACTGATTTGGGGAATTTCCAACATTTCTGAAGATAGATGCTGTTCCTTGCTGGGGTCTGAAGGTGCAGCCTTCAGTTTATTGCGTCAATAATTGATCGGGGGTTGGTTCTTGCTGGGACTTGGAGTGAATCCATTTCACAAAAGTGATGCTCTTGTCTGCACCACCCTGAGATTCCTGAAGCCTTGTCATGATGCCAAGTTCACATCAGCTGCAACTTGCTTGGTAAGCAAGGAAATAATTGTCCCTTTGATTTTTTTAATTTTGCATCCCCAGTAAAGGTACAACCTTTAAAAGAACAAGCTGACAAACATTAGGTCCAAAGAATTACTGTAAAGGCCCCAGTAAACAAGAGAGATACAAAATTGGAAGTAAAGAAAGGAATTGCAGAGGGTGGGTTGCAACAGTCCTTCTCTGTGTGTCCCAGGAGAGCAAAATCTCTGGATAATTGCATCAGTCACCTCCAGGGGTGGTATTTGAGGGGATAATCCAGAGCTGGAAGGATTCATGGTGCCTGTAAGAAGCAGGGAGCTGAAGTTTGCACGACTGATTAATGCCAGGGGCTAAAATGAAGTCAGAGCTGTTTTCCTGCTGAGTAACCCCACAAATAATTCCTAGAAATCAGAGGTGCCAGACCTAGAGCACATCAAGGAAGGATTGATCACCCCTGTCTTGCTCACAAAACTCATTTCCTTTTAATATCCTAATGCCTGTGGGAATTCTGCTCCTCTCTCGCACAGATTACAAAAACAACATCCTGAAGGAGAAGGCTGAGCAAGCCAGAAGCTTCCCAGCAAAGAACATTGATTTAGACAAAGGTAATCATGACTTTCTTCCCCTTTAATTGGTGGCTGCAGGGACCTTCAGGGCTGCAGGATGGGCAGCAGGAGGGAGAAACAGTCCATCAGTGAGTGACCAAGGCACAGCCAAAGAGGAATGAGAAACTTCATGGCAAAACCAGGAATGAGAAGCCAGCTCTCTTCCCATCCTTTCATCATGGAGCCACAAGACGCAAGCAGTGATTAGGCTTTTAAAAGCTTTGGGCATGGCACAAATTGGAATTTTTCTTGATTAGAAAAAGAAAGCCTGGCAGGGGTGGAACAGTGCCTGCTCTACTGTGACCTCAGAGGGAGGGAGATGGAGCCCAAAAATGTCCTGGCGTGCTGTTTGGGCAGAAAACACTGTGCAGAAGGAGAGTGTTTGGAGTTGAATTAATTTATGGGTAATGGGCAGTTGCTTCATCCAAGAAAAGCAAAGAGCTCTCCCTCCCTGGGGGCTGAATCTCCTCTTTCTGATCCAGGATTAATCCCCAGGGTTGTGCCACTGCTTGTAGGACAGCAATTCTGTCAAGCAGGGCTTGTGATCAGCTCAGAGATTCCATGACTCATTCCAGGGGAATGAGAATTTAATAAATGGGGCTGAAACGACATTAAGCAGGGAATGGAGAGCCCAGGAGCTGTCCCTGATGGAATTCTCATGGCATTTTCTTCTGCATCCTGTATGGTGGATCTGGGCAATAATTTACCCACAGTCTGTCTCACTGGGGGGCTTTTTAATATCAGGGCTGTCAGTGACTGCAAATGGTCACTCCAGAAACAAATCCATGTGCTTCTTTGAATGGTTTGAAATCTCTCTCCAGGTGCTGACCCTCGTTTCCATTTGCTTTCAGATTTCAGGAAGGAATACTGTAAATGAAGGCCCTCCCAAGCTGCTGGCTGGACCAGAAGCTTCCATCAGAGATAGATAACATGGAAAAGAGATGCCTTTTCTTAATTCCATCTCCCTCCAACTTCCATAGAATTTTTTCCACATCCACTTTTTCCCCACACAAGGGTGCAAATGCTTCATGAAAGAGTTAAACTGTCTTGTGTGCATTTATAGGGTTGGGTTGCCTTTTCTTCCTCTGTTCTTTCAATCTTTCCTTCCCCTTTTCTTTCTTGACAATTATTGTTGGATTTTATGCATCAATGATTTTTATGAGCTGAATCAGCAGAGGTTTTGCTTTGATGTTATTGCTTTAAATAAAACCACCTGCATCACTAATTCTGAGCCATCATTACACCAGGCATTTTTCCATGTGGTGAATCCATCAGGATAACAATGGCAAAGGCTGATCCCTGTCCTAGGCTGGCATAAATAATTTCACACAGAACTTTGCACGAACCAGGTGAAGCACAAAGAGCACAGCCCTCCCAAATGGTAGTGCAAAACCTCATTTTATCCATGGGTAAATGTCAGTATCCTCATTTTACAGGGAAAGGGAAGCACAGCAGTGGCTGAGGGCTCAGCTCAGAGCTGAACTCTGCATTTCTCACCCTGTGTTTGTTGATTTGTTTCTGTTTCAGACCAGATCAGATTTGGCAGGAGCAGGCGTTTGGTGGATGCAGTCACAGAACTGTAAATGCTAGCCTCAGTTAGATCAGAACCAGGAATGTTGTGGAGAGGGCTGAGCTCCTGTGTGGAACCTGGGATGGGATTTTTCTGCAGCCTTGGGGTGGATCCAGGCCACACAGAGCACATCAAACCAAAGGTAGGACCCAGCGCAGGGAGATGGTGAAGGGGAGCAGTTCCATGAGGAACAGGAGTAACAACAGGAATTTTCGTGGACCAGGTGCTCAGAAAGGGAATCCAGGAGGGGGATGAGTCCATTCCCATGGATTTTGGGTGGATTCCTATGGCAGTGAGGGTGTGGACTGAGGTGGGGGGTGGGGGAGGGTTCTACCTCTGAATAGTGTCAGGTGGGGCTGCCAAAAAATTGGAAGTAATTCAGTGTTGTAATCCAAGCAAGTCAAAACTCCAGGAAAGCTGCAGAATATTGTCAGATATTGGGGCATGGAAGGAAAAGGTGTTTCCTGTTGTGGTGACAGGGACTTGAGTGAGGGTGGCCAGGGATTGCCATCCTTCTGTTTGGTGGTCTGGAGGGGGTGGCACAGGGGGAGATTTGTGTGGATGGAGCTGGGACAGCCTCTCCAGCACCCAGACCTTCCCTTTTCTTGCCAATTTGTGTGTCTTGCCAACATTCTCAGGCATCTAATCCCAATCCAGACCCCTGTTCCTCCTTCCATGGGCACCAGGGATCTCTGCTGGGTGTGACAGGGCTCAGCAGGACTCAGAGGGTGGGATGGTTCCTCAAAAGCTGAGCTCAGCTCTGCCAAAAACATGGTGGGTGAGGCCTCCAGAGGGGCTGTGCTGGCTCTTCATAAGGTGGGACATTACAACAATGCACTTTTAATGACAAGTAGACCATGGACATTTTTACAGATATCAATATGTCTGTTACTGGGGGCTGTGTTAAAGAATAATTGTATCAGGGGACCTTATTTTCAATGCCTTCAAGCAGTAAAAATATTAATAATAGAAGGGAACTAGAGGTGGAGGTGAGCCTTCCTAAGCTGCAGCTGAGCAGATCTTCATCTTTTGATTTCTTACTGCTCTCCACAGGTTCTTTTGTGATCTGTAATTAATTACCTTTAGCCTCACTGAAGATCCACCCCAAGAAGTGCCTGGGATTGGTGCAGAGGAAGGTCTGGGGTTGATCCCAAGCCCCTTTTTGCCCTTCCCCAAAGCAGAGAGGGATTTTTATGCTGCCCTGAAACCCAGGCTGCAGTCCTGCAGGTGCAGGAGGCTGTGCTGGTTATTCCATCAGGGTGGCACAGTCTCAAATAATAGTCATTAACGTCTCTCTTCCTCCCTTTCATGTCTGTGAGTCAAAGGTTGGAGATTTTTCCTTGCCAGCTCCAATTGCTCAGCACAGCTCACACAGACACCAGCTCAGAGTGGGGTTACTTATAAACTCCAGAGGCATTGCAATATTTTATCTGACTCCTGGGCTGCAGAATAGCTTAAGGGGGGAAAATTTAATATATTCTCTGAAACAATGGCTGGGGAGGGCTCTTTGAGTTCCTTATCCTTGCTTTGATCACTGGTTGGGATTTGGGTAATGGTCAGGCATGCCAGGGAACCTTCCCTGGTGGGGTGGGATGGGATTCTGGCCTAGGATAACCCTTCCTGATCAGAATGGGATGGGATTCTGGCCCAGGATAACTCTTCCTGGACATTAAATGACCTGGGATGGGTTTCTGGCCCTTTTTCCTTCAGGAGAGGAATGTTGTGTGATTGGCCTAGAGATCATCACTGTAGCTTTCACCAGCAGCCACTCTGTAATTTAGCAAATTAAAATTCTGGCTGAGAGAGAGTCATGCAGGTGCTGGGTAACAAAGGAAAAAAAAACAACTGCAGATTTTTTTTTTTGGTTACTTAATGCAAAGGGATTATTGAAGGCTGTTTGCCCTAAAATCCTGGTGAGAAGCCACTGAGGCCGTTCCCATTGCACTTTGCATTCTTGGTCTGTGGCACTGCTGGGAAATCCATGGAAATGAGAGGGTTCCATTTGGAATTCCCCCTCTGGGCTGGGGCAGGAGCCCTACTCCCTCTTCCCAAACAATTTGGTTTTCTCTGTCCTTTTGTTATCTCAGCCTTTCTCTGCCTAATCTGGGACTTGCCTCTTGTGGAGAAACACTTTTTTCATGTAGCACTTGGCCTGAGTTATTCCAAGTAATTTTCTCCCTGTGCCAATGAATTGGTGCACTTTGATAAACTTATTTACCTTCTTTTGCAGACTTTGCCCCCTCACAGTCTCCCTGGTTTTCTGAGACATAGATTTTTATATTCAATTAGTTAAAATAATAATCATAATCTCTCCCCGCAGTGAGAACTTCACCTCGATGATTGTTATTATTGTTGCTCAACTTTTACAGTTTGTCTATTAATTCTCCAAACATTTAAGAAATAAAGGAGAATAAAATGGACTTTCCAGCTCAGGCTGATTTTATTTCTTGCCCTTTTGGAGGTGTTCTCTCAGCCAGCATTAGCTAATTTTTCCCAATAATGTTTCATCTCAGAGCATCCCAAAGTGCTTGACAAAGTGCAGACTGGATCCAGTAAATTATTCCAGTGATTCCAATAAGATTTCCACATGGGGAATCATTATTTGACAGGGTTGGGGGGCCCCCAGAGGAATTTAAACTCTCCAGAAATGTTGTATAAGGAACAAATCTGCAGCTGGAGATGGAGCTCAAACAATCCAGCAGAGAGGAAGGCTGGCAGCCCTTCCAGAGGATTTCATTTTGTAGGTCCAGAAGGGAAGATAACATTTCCTGCTGGAATCTGGATCTCCCTGCCAGCCCAAATTCCTCTTTTCCTTGCAGGACTAACACCTTGTGAAGTTCCTGCTGCACATTCTGCTCCTGGGGGGTCTCTCCACCCCCTGAGCATTTCCCCACCTGGCACAGCAGAGTTCTCCCAGGGACACTGATGGAAACAGCTCCTGCTGAAGCCTGGCTGGACACTGCAGGGACAAGGATTTGAAGGATCAAGGCAAGATATGAAAATAAAAAGTGGCAAAAGAAGTGCATTCAGCAAGCTAGGATTATTGACCAGCTTGTCCAGCTCTGGTGAAACTGTCACCTTCCCTCTTCCCTGGTGGAAATCCCACTGCCATTCCCCAGCACCTCTTCTCTGGGGTGAATCAGCACCCAAATAATCCTTGCTGGAGCTGCTGTGGGGTTTTACTGGTCTCTGCTGGCAGACTCTAGTCCAGGCCTATATTATTTTATTTTATTTTATTTAATATTTTATTTAATATTTTATATTTTATTTCTTTATTTTATTTTATTTTTTAATTTTTTATTTTATTTATTTTATTTTATATTATTTTTAATTTTTATTTTTATTTTTTATTTAATTTTTTCATTTTTCTTTTTTTTATTTATTTATTTTATTTTTTATTTTATTTTATTTTAATTTTATTTTAATTTTTAATTTATTTTTTATTTTATTATTTTATTATTTTATTTTATTTTTATTTTTTATTTTTTGTTATTATTTTATTTTATTTTATTTTAATTTTATTTTATTTTATTCTTTTTTCTATTTCTGAGGCATCTTTTGTCTGTTAATGGACTTTCTAGGAGAGCTGGGAGCAAGGAAAAGCTCATTTAGAACACCAGCAGACCACTGAAACAAAATATTTTTATTGTCTTCCACTTGGCTGAAGTGAAGTCCAGTTTGTCCCAGTCTCCTTTCTGCCTCCCAGTCTAGGGAGAGTTTTACCAGGGGAGAGGAACTTGTAAGTCATCAACAGAACAAATTTCTGAGGGGAAGAAGAAACAGTGAGAGACAAGGAGAATAAAGACCCAAGTAAACATTTCTAAGCAAAAAACTCCAATTTCCTAAAGGTCTGTATGTGGCCTCAGCAGATCAGCTGCTCTGCAGACAATTCCTGTAGGGAATTTGTTCAAGTGTGACTTTCTCTTTTTTAAAAAAAGGGGCTGCAGCTGCTAAGGAGAGGTAGGAAAAGCAGAGGAAAGAAAAGAGATTGAGTCAGGATGAGGAGGAGCTGGGATCAATCCAAAGAATTTATCATTTATAGGTTCTGCATTCCATGGAAGTGTTTGAAAATCCACACGAGTGTTGTCCTCTGTCCTGTTTTCCCCTCCCTGTGGGGCAGTATCTCTCCTTAACGCGTATTTCTAACTTAAGTGGGGCTTGGAGGATGCAAATACTTCCTGTTATCTCTCATTTTCCTCAGATTTGTGTTCAGGTCCAGGGACAGCCCCGGGGAGCTTTGCAGAGGTTACTGCGAAGTCTTTTGCTTCCCTCTAGTGTTTAATGTCTCCATTTCCTTGTCAGTGACTGCCCAAGGTCCACTGCACAGAGGGAGAATAAACGGGAAAAAAACCCCTTACAGATCTTCCAGACCAGATCCAAGAGAAGTTTAAACTGGCTTGGATTGGATCCTGCTCACATTCCCCAGCTGGGAGCCAGCCCACAGCCTCTCCATTTTGAGCTCTGGGTGGTTGCAGTGACATCTCTGCTTCTCTTTCTGTTCTGGGATCATTTCCATGTTTAGTTCATCTTCTGCATCAATGACAATCTTGCCAACAATCCTCGAAGTGAAATTTTGTTCTTTTACAGATAAATCCTTGCCGGTGGGTAAAAACCACCTAGGAAACCTCTGGGTGGCTGTTCAGAGCTTGGTTTCCCTTTTG